GGCACTCCTCACAGGGGGTATATTCGATGAAATATCGACGCGACTCACCTCCATATCTTCAAGACTATCCTCCTGACTGATGCACCTCAGCACATTTTTCTTGCTGCTTTCCTGCATCTCTCCGGCCAGGAGGAGTTCGTCCAGAATAAAGTAGGCCTTTTGGAAGTTGAAAATTATGTCCAGTTCACACACGTTTCCATAGTATTTATCCATCTGTTCGACATATCGGTGAACGATCTCGAGGGTAATCAACTCGTTGTCCGTGGAGTCACAACCGGCGATGAAGAAGAGAGATGCATAGCGGCGATAGACAATTTTGGTGTCTGCAACGACGGGGCATGGTGGTCAGCCTGAGATCGAGGAGGTGAAGGGAACGGAAAATGAAGCAGACAGGTTCAAGAACGGGGAAACCGCACCTTTGTACTCGAGGAAATTACACATTCGAGTCCGTCGAGCCAGAACCAGCTGAGAGACGTCCTTGATAATTTTGGCCTTGTCTTTCGGGGAGAGGGTGGTGAACCATTTTGCCAGTCTCTGGAAGGCGTCGACGGATTGAAGTCAGCGAAACGAACCCAGGTGGGCGACTACTCAGTGCATGGATGTCGGCCGTACCACTTTGCCCTGACGGGAGAGCAGGATGAGATATCTACCATGCGTTAGCATACCTGGTACTCCCACAGAGTGAGAGTCTCTGGACCTCACTTGATTGCCATCTTCCCTGTCCGCAGGTCACAAGCAAGGCCACGGGATGGTAGAAAAAAGGACCAACAACCGGTTGGCGGGAAAATTCACCGCCAACAATGGAACGGCACGTGCGGGAAATCGAGCCACCTTGACGCTGCGTTTCTTGGCATATCACGTGATGTGACCTGTCCCACACTTCTCACAAGCTCCGCAGCCTTTGCAGTCTGGACAACATTGGATCTACAGAGGCACCCAAAAGCAAAAGGTGGATGCCATTCGTCGAAGTTTAGCAGGGAATGAGTCAAAAGCAACCATCACGGAGCTCTCATAGCGGGCAATCAATTCATTGGCGTCACATTCGACCAAGGCTTTTTCATACACGTACTTTTCGTTGCATCTACAAGTCCAAGATAAGGCTGTCTTCTCTCTTTTCCTCTCGCCACATTCAAAGGCGAAGACTCAACAACCTGGTGAGTACTCCGAGCTAGAAAACCTAGACGTAGCCCTTCAGAATTGCACTCTCAGCATTCAAAATGGAGGATCCGGCAGCTCCCAGGATTGTGTTGTGGCTCAGGGCGACAAACTGAATGTCAAAGATGCCGCTTTCGTCTTCCCTGATTCTGCCTACGCTGCACGCATATCCCCTTTCTGTCTCAATGTCAAGGCGAGGTTGCGGTCGATCGGCCTCATCCAAAACGACAATAGCCTGTTTCGGGGCCGAGGGACATCCGAGGAGTTGCACCTCGGAACTGTACTCTTTCATCGCGTCGCGGACCTGGTCCACGGACGGGGGGGGTCGGTTTGCGAATCGTAACGACACACACACTGTATGGCCGTTAAGCACCGGGACGCGGTTGCAGGCGACGGAAACCCGGAGAGGTTGGTCGACAAATGCCGACAGGTCCGCACTCAAACTGCCCAAAATCTTGCGAGCTTCAGCTGGCACCTTGGCCTCCTCGCCTGGGATGTAGGGAACGATATTGTCAATGATGTCCATGCCTGACGCGGTTAGCTGTGAATGAGTGACACTAGACTACCAGCCCTTGGCCAATTCATGGGCGGCAAGGCTTATTGATCCACTTACTGCTGACGCCAGGATAGCCCGCTCCCGAGACAGCCTGCATAGTCACCATGCTCACCGTGTCGATAGGTCCGAACTTTTGAATGAGAGCCGCGGCGGGGATAACGAGTCCGATGACGGCACAGTTTGAATTGCACACGAGAAGGCCTTTCTCTAGTTGGTAATGCCGACGCTGTGTTGGGATCGTCTCGATATGACCTGGGTTGACCAGGGGAACAATAAGCGGAACCTGAGGGGCCAACCGGAAGTTTTTGGCATTTGAAAAGACGGCAAAGTTTGCTTTGAGAAAGGCCATCTCAACATCGCCAGCCACATCAGCATTCAGGCCGGAGAAGATGATGTCGCAATCTGGATATTCGGCAGGAACGCAGCGTCGGACGGTCATACTGGCGACGTGTGCGGGCATTGGGGTCGACTGTTTCCAACGCACGGCATCAGAGTATTTTTGGCCGGCCGACTTCTCCGAAGCTCCCACAGCTACCAATTCGAGCAGCGGATGTTGAGCGAGCAGGAGAATGAACCGCGTTCCCACCGCTCCAGTCGCCCCCAAGACACCTAGGAAGTGTTAGTCGTCCACTGTCTTTGGCAGTGACTAGTGTAATGGTACTTCATACCGCATCTCTTCTTCGAAGACATTGCTGTAATCCCGTACAGTTCTCAATGCTGACTCTGTTTTGATTTTTGGGGCTGAGAAAAGAAAATCTTCCGAGATCAGCCGGGTGGCTCCAACCGGCAGTCCGCAGATAACGCGCTGTGCTTGAGTCAATAGGGATCGACAGAGTCGGGTGGTATCACCCAACAAAACCCTCTTTGCAACAAGAGCGACGTTCAAGAGAGAAGGGAGTGTTATCGAGTTGCCTCCTCCGCATTGATAAGAAGATTTAATAGTCATACCTCTGTCGCGCCGAAAGAAGACTAGCGTTTGTGATAACTCAGGTGGAAGGTTGACCGAAAACAACCCCGCTCGCCCGATCCCCCCCGATGGGCACGTGATGTGTTACACGAACAAGACGGCACCGAGTAACTCAGTTATTTAGTAGAGATACAGCAGAATCTACAAGTTGCACAGGTGACATTGGAGAGAAAGCGCTCCACAGACTTGACAAGTCACTAGACTGGGTATGGGTTGAAAACTTTCGGGTACGTTTGGGGCCTAAAGGAATATATTCGCGGAAATCGCGCCAGCCAACCTGAATTTGTCGCCTACATAAGATCTACATATGGCTTCCAGGACGAAAAGTGGAAGGCCAAGGCTCCCTTAATCACCCATCACTCCAGGCACTTGTAGACCACCTCATTGTCTCGGACGCAACCTTCTGGTGTACTTGTTAGGGAGGACCTTCCGCACAGGCTTGGTTTGCCTACGACTCTGTCCATCCTTTAGCCCTTGCTCTGAAACCGCACTGGAATGCTCAGAAGTAGCACATTTCGCGCGCTTGGCGGCGGGTTCATCGACAGAGGCATCAAATTCATCTTCTTGGGTACTTTGCAGAGACGTACAACTGTCCGCCAACGTGGTTGACGGATTGTCCACAGGTGCGCTTCGGGCTATCTGATTTGCGTGAGAGATGAAATCATCTCGCACTGTTTTAGCTCGATCTCGGAGGTTGCGGAAACTAGTGACCCCTGTTCCGAAAGTCTCGATGCTGTCGGACAATTCATACCCACGAAGTTGTGTCATATGACACTCAACGGGTTGTCCAGGGGCTCTAGGTGCTGTTAGATGGTGACTGTATAGTCTCAGTACGGCCCCTCCTTGAAGGTAAACGGCTGAGTAGCTGTACGCGTTGCCATCATATTTGATTTCGTCCGATTTGTAATTCTGAAGACTGTGCATCGCCCTGGCGCCGACCGCCCCGTCATGACGGGCTTGCCGCCTTGCTACATCGGCACGACCACTCTCACCTTTAACCTCCAAGAAAAAGTTCGGTGCCGCGGGTAGTGATGTATCGTTGGATGGGACAATGTGTCCTCCGAGATCGTGGCGGATCTTCAGATCGATTTGCCGGGGGAAGGCGCCGTCATACAGGTCTGGCTTGGGTCTGGGTAACTCGTCGGCGAACGGCTCTAGGTGGCTAAATTCGCGCCCCGCTGCGTTGTAATGGTCTTTCCTCGGTTTACCGGCAATGATGGACATAACCTGAGCCCGTGTAGTTGCTTCATCGCTCACTAAGTCACAAAGATCTTGGAAATCTGCGAAATCCTTGTCATTGAAGCGTGGAGGAGACAAGGAAGGCCGGCGCTTGGCCATGTCTGTTCTGATATCTCCCACATTGCTGGGTTGTATAGTTCGACTAGGTTGGTTGATACCAGCGTCGATCAGGGCCTGTCCGAAATTGGAGTCATGGGCAGTCATAGACTTGCAGGTTGTACCTTTGTCGGCAGATGCGGGCGGACGCGTTCGCCCGGCACTGTGTCGGGTCATTGTGTCGTCCTGGTCAGCTAGACTTGCATACTACACGATGCCACTGTTAATATCGGACTGGCAATAGATAGACAAGCGGAACTCACTCCTCGAATATGGGTTAGATCAGGTCCGCCGCGTAGTGCAAAACGCACCACGCTCTTGGTCCTGGGCCTTGAAATGTCATCGTTGAGTTGGGGCGTTGGCACTGGTACTCCGGCCCTCAACGTTCTGCAGTCGAATTCTCTCAATGCTGCTCCAGTTAGATGGACCTTGGACAGCCGATTCCAGAAACCCGTAGTAGGCCACTGGTATTCTTCGGCTTCTGATGTGCGTTTCTTTCGCCGCAGCGAGGAAGGAGTGTCTTGAACTCTTCGAGGAGATCTGAGAGTATTTCGCCGCCGATTCTTTGCAGGAAGGCTTCCATCGGGTACAGACATGGTGTGTTGAAGGGCAGCGGTTGAGAAAGCTGGTGAAGGAATGGAGGCAGCTGCGGCCAGAATGATTTGTTTGTCTTCACATCTGCAGTTAGCTGTGGAATGTACAACAGTCCTTGCAAGGCTTCGATCGATTGGCACTTGGTAACCAGGGACGCCAAGGGAGGCCAAATATGCATCAGGCCCGCAGGAGAGCATGTTAGCCGAGCGAGCCACCCAGTCATCCCTTGTTGATGTCCTTTGATGTCCCACGGCGTCCTTACAGTATGATTTCTTCTTCTGGTAGCCTCCGATGGACGACGACCCATTCATCCAACACTTTCTCGAGATACGCCTAGGTGGGAGGTATCAGATTTGTCGACGTATAGGATTAGGCTCGTTTGGAAAGGTATACATGGGTACGATAGTCCTCTGAGCCACGATAAAACATCTGATCATGACTGATTCACACAGGGTGCGATGTCCCCAAGGGCAATGTGGTGGCTATTAAACTTGAGCACTGTTCGATCGACCCATCGTTTCTCACGCAAGAGATTGAAATCTATAGGCAGCTGAGGGCAAAACGTGGCATCCCTCGGTTACTCTGGCACGGCTCCCACGGTGAATTCCAGGCGATTGTGTTCGACCTACTGGGACCTAACCTAGAGGACCTCTTTCAATACTGCGACAAGAAATTCTCACTCAAGACAACATTGATGCTGATGGACCAATTGATCCGGCGGATTGAAAGCCTCCATGCGGTTGGATACCTCCATCGCGACATCAAGCCCGAAAACTTCCTATTGGGCACTGGTAATCAGGGTAACGTGGTCTACATGACTGACTTCGGAATTGCGACCTCTCGAAGTGACTCGCCCCCCCAAATCACCACTCAGAAGCCGGGAAATCAGCCCCAGATTGCCTTGGTAGGCACGTGCGACTACGCCAGCATCAATGGCCATTTGAATGTTGGTAAGTGCAGTAGAAGCATTCCGTTACGGGGATTGACAAGCTAAAATAGTCCCTTTGTGCAGCTCCAGCGTGGCGTGACGACCTTGAGTCACTAGGGTACATGGCCTTGTATTTCCTTCACGGCTCTCTTCCCTGGCATGGTCTGCAAGCACCCAACCGGAAGGAAAGGCATAGGCTTGTCTACGAACGGAAAAAGGCGATTGCCGTGGTGGAACTATGTCATGGCCTCCCCACCGAGTTTGCGACGTACATGAGCTACATTCGTGGACTGGAGGACCAGGAGAAGCCCGACTATAAGTACCTCGGACGATTGTTTGGTCGACTATTTAGCAAATCAGGCTTCAAGTATGACAATGTGTTCGACTGGACGATTCGGGAGTTTGAGAGGCTCTCCACTGTGGTTTAGGGATATTTCGTCTTGTACGCTTTCATATCCGGATACATGGTCGAGCGGGAATGGAAGCAGGCTAAATTTCCTAGTCGTGTACTAGTTGACTAGTTAGCAATCGACCAATCCAAACGGTATACGGCGCTAACGGCTGCCACTCAAACTGCCGGTCAGCGTGGTTTAACCAAAAGCACCCAAGGTGGCGCCATTGTGGGGGGTTTGGGCGTCCGAAATCGCGGGGAAGCCGAATCCGAGGCTTGTTTCAATGTCTTTATCAATTTCATCCAAAAACTCTCCGCCTCTCCACACCTTCATCTCTCCTCCCTCCATCACTCTCCCTTCTGCTTCTTGTCCTTAGACATACACTCCCCAAACAGCAATGAGTGACTTGCCCCATACCCGCCCGGCAAAACCGTGGGCCGGCGGACGGATTCTCACCCCCGCACAGCGCGAAAGAAAGAGAGCTGCCAACCGAGCTTCGCACCGCAACAGACGATACCAAGCTGCTGCCCGCACTGCCAGCCTCGAGTCCCAAATCGAGCTTCTAAAGGCCGAGATCGAGGTACTCAAGCGGCGAGAGGGGCCCGAGGCACAAGATTGCCTCACAGGTCCCCGTTCCCCCCTTCATCCTTCCTCGGGTCAGCCAGCTTCTCAGCTCCATGATCCGCTCGCCGTTATTGCCTCTTCTCCCATTGAACTTCCCGACCTGGACCTACGGCATTCAGTCAACATGGCAAATGCCGACTCGGGCGACATCCGATGGCGAAACATCCACGGTGGCGACAACCACAGCTACCACGGAACCGAGCAAACAACGCCTCCTCCAACCTCGGCGACGAGCTGTCAAGAGATTTTCAACCTTGTCATCTCCCAAGCGCGCCGATTGTCAGCGTTTCAGGTGTCGACAGACGACACCCTGAACCAAGACATGTTGGTGCGGGCCCTCGTCAACGGATGGCCTGACGTCCTCATGCAGTACGGCGGGACGGGCGCCCCGTGCCCTCTGTGGAGCCTCCTGCACTACCTCGACCGACGCATCTTCTGCAAGAGCGGGTTCATGACGCGCCTGTGCACGCTGCGCATGACACACGCCATGCTGCTGTGCTTCGTGGGCGCCAGCTCCTTTCGGGACCTGCCGGCGTGGTACCGGCCGCGCCCGTCGCAGCACACCATCCGGCACGCCCTCGCCGTCGACGTGCTCCCCTGGCCCGGCGTGCGGGAGCGGGCCGTCCACGCCCAAGGGCTGACCCGGCAGAACCAGTTCTGGACGGACCTCGTCCACCGCTTCCGCTTCCACTGGCCGTACCACCCGACCGAGGCGGTCCAGCTCGACGCGGACACGGGCCTCTTTGCCCTCTCCGGCCTGTTCCTGAACCAGGTGCACAACATCAACATGTGGAAGGTCGACCTGAGGTTCTTCGACTTCTTCCCGGACCTGTACGACGACATCATGCCCTCGCTCGACGGCATCGAGAGGCCCCTCTCCTCCTGCATCCTCCCGCCCTGCACCGTCGGACCGACCCTCCACGTGTCGATCCCGACCCCCGGGGTGCAGATGGTGGGCGGTTTCGCCGCGCTCGACGGAGATCACATCCCCGCGCTGCCGTTACCAGAGACTTCAAGCGACGATGTGCCGTCAGAGCCCAAGGAGAGACAACACGCTCCACTGGCCATGTTAACGCCCTTGACGCAACAGCAACAGCAACTATTATCACTTCAACATGGCGATCTGGGTAGACGAGGCGAAACAAGAGTCAGATGGGGGGTACTCCATCCATCCTGATTCACATATATATATATATATATATATACACACATCAAGAGCGCGCGCCCGCGCGAGAGAGAGAAGAGAAAGAGGCGGGGACATGGGATATGAGACAGGTCATAAAATTCCACGGGTCAACACCACCCCCGGCTACTCACGCTACGCGAAGAGAGGGAGAAAACCCGTCGGACAGACCACGATCATGGATGGGCAAAGTCACATCAAGGTGACTCGGTCCGGGCAGGGTACACCTCCCTCCACGATCCGAGCGATAATCACCCACGGAGCGAGTGAGGTTTCCATGCGGGGAGATGTCGAGTATGTGTGCCTGTCCAAGCAGGGGAGGATGATTATGCGCTGTCGCGGCGAGATTGGTTATCGGATCATTTGGGTCTTGGTGGTCGATACAGACGTCCAGGACGGTGGTGATCACGTGACTGGCAGACTGTCATGGTGACAGAAACCCGTTGTTTGAAGAAGCCAGAAGAGCCAGCGAGCTAGCGAGCGAGGCTTGATCAAGAAGGGAGGCAAGGCTGGAGACTTGAGCATGGGATTACTGATGTGACTAGTATCTGTCTGTCTGTCTTGTCTATTCTCTGCTGGACTCTGCTGGGTTGTGCCAGTCTATTAATGAGGCACACGACCCTGTATCATCCTTGACTATCTGGCCTTCTCGGTCCCATACCTCCCACCTTGTAAAAGCATGAATGGAACCTCAATCGATACACCTGTCATGCTTCTCTATTCTATATCACAAATGTCACAAGCGCCTGCGCCTATCTTGCCCCCTTCGTCGTCGTTGGCGGAGTTGTGTTGTTGGCCACACCCCGCTTCCTCTCAATCTCCTCAATTCGTTCCTGCTCCGCCTTTGCTGCGAGCTCCCTCTTGCGCTTGTCGTCCCTTTCAACCTGATCGGGTCGCTTGATGGCAATATCCTTGGGACGGAAGTCGCTGAACAAGTACTTGAATATTTGCTCCACAACCCAACATCCCACAAAGTCAGCAACCATCAGAGTCGTCAGGGCCCACTTGAACTCGCTGGTGAACGGCACCAAACGTAACTTCTCGCTGAGCTCCGGCAAGAATTCGGTACTTCCCGCAAAGGCCACAAACGAGCACGCCAGAAGTCCCCAGTACATACCTCGGTTCTCCCGGATGCTTTCGCGGAAAGGCCGTCCTTGGTAATTGATTGCAAAGGTGGACACTTGTTGGATCAGTTGCATGAGATAGACGGCGCTGTTGAGCAACGAAGGTTCGAATTCGCCTTCGAGGTCGATCTCATCGGATGGCGGGACGATCGAATAGACAACGTTGGAAAGATAGATCAGTGTCGCGCAGTGGATTGCAAATTGCCCAAGTACCGATCCAAGGATATAAGCATTTAAGATGTTCGGCTGTGGTCGTTCGCGCGAAAGCGCTTCCACAGGTTTGGCCCGGGAGATAGAAAGGAAGCACACGGACATCAACATTCCGCTGATTGTCACCTGACCATCGCCGAACTTGATGCCTGCCAGGTAGATGACAGACAAGCTGTAAGCGCTGATCAAACAGTTGAGAGCCAGAATCTTGTACATCTGAATGGTCGCCACAAGGGTACATCGACCCTGCCGGATGATGTTGGGGATTGCTATAACGTTGGCCAGCTTGCTCGTGAACGGAGCTGCAACTGACGCATCACCCAGTTTGATTGTAGGTGGCTCGCCATCATCAAGTTCAGTTTCCATCATGCTAGAGGTAAACTTGTCCGCCCAGTTTGCCGCCTTCTGTTGTGCTTCTTGCTGGCGTCGTTGTTGAGGTGTCAAGCTGGCGTTCGACTGTTGGATTGCTTGAGCACCAGGTGAGGTGATGGTCTCCACAGTGCCATTCTCAGCATCGCCACTCTCCAGATTGATACCTTTTTGCTCGGCGATTTTCTTTACTGCCTTTTCATGGTGAGGATTTCGCGGGCCAGGCGGATAGAGATGTGCAATTCCGATGGGCACCGGCGGAGGCGGCTGGTTGAATCTTTGCATCAGCTGCACTTGCTTTTCATATATCTCCTTCATTTTCGTGGTCCGGAAATGTTCACCGATCTTATTGAGGGCGTCTTGGGAGCCATTGAGGAGAGCCACGCCAATGTGGGCTTGCTTCAGCGCGCCAACATCGTTCGTCCCGTCGCCACACATCAGCGTAGTGTAGCCTTGGTCTTTGAGACCAATCAAAATCTCTTCCTTCTGCTTCGGCGAAACTCGGGCGTAGACCCAGGTATGTCTCAGCAACGACATGAATGCTTTTTGGCCGCTGAATTTGGCAAGTGCATAACCAGTAACGCATAAGTCCTTGGTCTCAAGAATCTTCGGATCCAGATCGGCCGTGGGGTCAACAGGGATGATGGTTTTCTCGTCAACGCTGCGCCAGACGAGTTTGGTCCCCGAGTCATCGTGCTCCGGAGCATCCAGAATCAAACAGTCGCGGTCGACGATTTCGACCTCTCTGGCAACATGAACAGCGGTCAGCGGGTTGTCTCCGGTGATCATCACAACGCGGTGACTGCTCTCGTTCAGCATCTGAATGGCCCTGATTGCATCTTCCTTTAGGGGAGTCTGAAGAACCAAGAAACCGGCAAAGTGTAGATCACGCTCGACCTCTTCGCGTTTGAGATCATTGATGCGCTTCTGGCCTATCTCAGCCTCGGTCGAGAGGTATTTGTACCCAAGAGCTAGCACCCGGGCTCCGTTGCGTGTGAAGTACTTGAATGTCTCCTCATACTTCGGCGGTGTCTCAACCAGCATCTTTTGGATAGTTTCCGGAGCGCCTTTGACACCCACAAAAGTGCCCTTCGCCTTCCGACCAGAGTTGGGATCAGTCATTAGAACTGTAGCCACAGAACTCATACGCTTGAGAGCCGACGAGAATTGAAACCGTCGTTTGATTTGAACGACATGCGAGGCACCCGCTGTCGAGAATGGTTTGGGTTTTTTCGATTTGGGCGGAGGAGTGCTGATCAAAGTGTCGTTGTGGCCAAGGGTCCAGTTTAGAGCGTTGAGTGTGGCCTTTTCCATAGGATCACCGACAATGTCCCCTTCCTCCAGTTTGACCAAGGCGTGAGCGGTTGCCAAAACCAGTGTGGTATGAATGCCGCAGTCTGGGACCTTGGTGACTGAGGACTGCGCACCATCCGCTTCGGTTTGGGCACTCTTCTTCCCCAGGCTAAGACCGGCAATGCCGTCAACGACGAGATCCTCGCCGGTCAACGTACCAGTCTTGTCGAAAC